GTAACTTTAGATGTTAAAGGTTATGAGTAATTTTGATTAAGATCAAAATTTAGTCTCAAATAATTACTTTAAAAAAAAAAAATTGTTATAAAACTTATAACTATTGTTTTATTATGTATATAAATTGCATTTTAAATAGTATTAAAAGATATCAACTGTACTCTCTGCCCTATTTAGGGTAATTACTATGTTTATCATTTTTTCTAAATGAAATAAATGTAAGTACAAATATAAATATAGTACAATTTTGATGTTTATCATATAAAATACTTACTGNTTATCATTTTTTCTAAATGAAATAAATGTAAGTACAAATATAAATATAGTACAATTTTGATGTTTATCATATAAAATACTTACTGAAGCATTTTGTGAAATAGTTAGCAGTGTTTATATCATCTTTGTTTGAATTTCCGTCTTCTGCAATCAATATTACACCAACCGTATACATTGTTGCTGCTACTAAATTGCTTATTTTGTCTTTAAGAAGAAAAGTATTTATGGGTTTTATTGAAGAATACTGGAAATCTAATTCACTTGAAATTGGCTAATATAAAAAATTATAAAACTTATTACATTTAACCGTAGTTTATGATGTTAAACAAAAAAAAATGTGGCTTTTGATTAAAACAAAACTAAGAATATTAGACAAAACTTTAACTCAATTATTTTAAATCACAATTTTGACAGTATTTATCATTACTAATTGACAGTAATATGTAAAAGACTTGTATGAAAGACTTTTCAAATTTACCAAAAATTTAATTAATTACCTTGTAAACTATCTGATAAAAAGACGGAATTTTACTTTTGCTTCCAAAGATATTTTCATTCAATAAATTTAAAACTAAATTTATTGAATGAAAATCTGAAAAATCTAATTTAGGCGGTTCGATTAGAACTGGGTATTCTGTAATAATGTAAACGAAATTGTTATAAATAATAATCCACAAAACTTCATCAAGTAATTAAAATTGACAATTACTTTCAATACAATACGGCATAATAAAATTATTTTTACATCCTCCTTTACAAGTTCCTAAAATATTATCGCATTGAGTTTTACAATTGTTTGAACATATTTTTTTACATCTGCGGCCGTAAGTTCCTTCGGTACATTCTATAAGATTTTTCAATAATTTTAGTTTTTTATTATGAAAAATGGTTCCAACTATAATAAACCTTTATTGCATAAAGGTCCAGTGTATCCAGCTGCACAGGAACATCCATTACTATATGTGCAAAACAACATGTTCTGACAAAAAGTCTTCTTTTGTGAACACCAAGCAGTACAATCAGCGCCATATTTATTTTTGCCGCATTCTTCAAACACAATTTAATATAAAAATAATTTTTGAACTATTTTAAATGCCTACGGTCATAATTACCTTTAGGTGAATAGGTATTGGCAGCCATTGCTCGAGTGATTTCTATTTAAAATTTAACAAAAAAAAATATTACTTGAA